TGCTTCGTGGTATGGCTTGTGTGTGTGTGAGGGGGGGGGACGACGACGACGACGATGCAAGCCTACAGACCCCTGAGGAACCACATCAATGCTAATCATGGCTGAAGAACAAGAGGCCGCAGATGGAGACTGGCTGGGTGCCGGCTGTAATCAGAACAAGGAGGGCACTGTGACTGTGTGCTCACACGGGGGTGGGGCGGCCTTTGGAATAAGTATCCTGCTGGCACTGTTGGGGAGAAGTTGCTTGGTTCAGAGCTGGCTGAGAACCTGGTCAGACTGGCTCCCGGGGTCATCTCTCATTAGCCCCATCTTCTGCCCTGATATGCCTTTTACTGTGGAACTAAGAATAATGTATTTTAAAATCACCACATTATATGTGTTATTTATCCATAATGACAATTATGAATTATTTGTAACGATCTGTGATGACCGTGTGCTGGACGAGCGAGCAGGGAGCTGGGAGTCAGGGCCAGGCATATGGAGATTCCACAAACAGGGCTTTTATTATAGGCAAACGAGTCGACATGGAACAGACTTTAGTACACTTCAATGACCGGACTTGGGTAAACAGACTTGGACGCAGACTAAATACACAGGATTGAACGGGAATAACTGGAAACAGCTGGTCACAAGCGGGATTGCACACGAGGTTAATGAGAAGGCGTGGCATACGAGAGGGTCATACGGGCAGGTCATGACATTAACGGTTATCCATCAAGTATTTCTTTCAGCACTAGTTTCTACTGTGTCTGCTGTTGACCTGTAGAATAATCTATATAATTACCTGAATGATAACAATCATACCTGCACAATGACCTCAACAATAATCTCCACAATGACCTTCACAGTAACCTCCACAAAGCAAAGCCATACCACGAAGCAAAGTCCTGGGTAACTTGTACAATGACCTTCAAAATGACCTCCACAATGACCTTCACAGTAACCTGTACAATGACCTTTATAATGACCTCCACAATGACCTTCACAGTAACCTGTATTTACTTCCTAGTGTAATTTACTCATTCACTCACTCAGTAACCAAACAAAATACAGGAGTTTTTGCATTTTTAGTTTTTTTCATTACAGTCATGTATTTTTATAAAATAGAGTTTTCCCATAGCTCAGTTTCCTGGTCCCCATAAAGGTAAAAAAAAAAAAACAGGTATTCATCACATTGTGGGGACATTTGGTCCCCACAAGGTAAGCTATACCTGGATCACACACACACTAGATCTTATTCCACAGCTATGGACTCCCAACAATCTAAGACTGAGAAGGGGCAACACACTGCGAGATACTTCCTTCTCAGCGGGGGTGTGTCCTGTGGTTTCAGTCTTGGACTGGATTCCGGTGAGTCCTCTTAGCAACCAGAGACCACAATGAATTGTTTGTTTAATCTTAAAAAGCCAGATGGTTAAAATTCTGGATGTGAGAATTGAGGTACAAATGTAACATAGAGATTAATGCCTGAAACCTTCTTCACTCTCTGAGGGTTGCATGCTTTCAGAAAACAAGGGGGGGGGGGGGTGTCATTCTTTTAAATGGCCTTGCAGTTACAATATTAAACTTAACCATTAGATAAGATTGTTGTTTTTGGGTCATTGATTTGTAAATTTAATTTAAATATGCATATAAAGTAATGGAACTAGACTATTAAACTGCGTAGAGGTAGTCTGGTGAGTCTAAGACATGGAACTGAATTCTTTACCCAGTACAGACCATCTAAGGATTGAGGAGCTGGATTGGACTTGTGGATCACGCGCATGAGGATCACACACGTCCCAAACTCCCTGCAGGAAAGGGCCAGTGTGTAACGTCCCGATTTAGAGACTTTAATAAAGGCTCACACCTGGCATATGGTCTCCCTGGTGTCAGAATGAGCGCAGGACTCCGCCTCCTCCAGATTTACATAAATCACATGACCTCCACATCACCACGCACTCTGCCTCCTGCCAGCGCAAGTCTCATCGCCAGAGTGTGTGTGGAGGCTCTGGCGTGTTCCACAGGATTCGCAGTCATAGCTGAAGCTGGCATGTCTGTTTATAGTCATGCAACCCCCCCCCCCAACCCCAGTGGGTGCACCTCTATCTTTCTCCTTCTCGCCCCCTCGGGGTCCAGCAGAACCCCAGGTCGTCTCCATCCGCAGTGACGCCACTGCCAATCTGGATGCTCTTCAGCTCCGCTGAGCCCGTCTGCTTCGCTGCGTGTGACTGAGGTGATGTGACGATCACAATGGCCTGTTAGTGTGTTGGGGGCCACTGCACTTGGTTGCCCTTGACACATGCTCTTGTTTCTCCTTGGTTGCCCTTGACACATGCTCTTGTTTCTCCTTGGTTGCCCTTGACACATGCTCTTGTTTCTCCTTGGTTGCCCTTGACACATGCTCTTGTGTCTCCTTGGTTGCCCTTGACACATGCTCTTGTGTCTCCTCGCTTATTAGGGTCTCTGCTGGTTCCTTTGGGGACGGTCACTCCCGTTTTGTCATTTTAAGCAAACTACACCAAAAAATCCAGTAGAATTCAGGTTATATTTACCAACAGGTTTGATCGACGTGTATAAAAATCGGGCATCGAGTCGGCCTTAGAGATTAATGATGTCCGCGATGCTGATTTCAGTCAAGTCAATCTGTAATTCCCGGTCTCATCAAAACATCAAAACATACATGCAAATTCATACAAGACAAGATACCATCAGTGCTGATGACAGTCTAACGAGAGGGATAATTAGCAGCTGAGTGTGCATTCATTTCCCCCAGACAGCAAAAAGAAACTTAGATTTTGCTTTAAAAATAATTCAGAGCTCTGATAATAATTTTAATGAAGAAACTAACATGGTGCCATGCAGGGTTGGGGGGGGGGGTGTTACCACACATCGCTCGGATTGGGTTTGGCCGTTTTGTGTGTGTGGAGTTTGCATACCTTCCGTGCCTCACACAGTTTGCCCCAAATGGGCAGCGGAGGATTCGAACCCGCAACCCAGGAGTGTTGAGGTGGTGAGTCACGGCTCCGCCTCCATCAATTTTCTGCAAGTATCAGTCTAATTCCTGACATTCAGAAAATAACAAACATTAAATAGAACATCAAGCCTCCTCAATTTATGTGCAAATAAGGCTGACAGCTAATATAATAACGGGCATCAATACGATTCTTCATTAAACTTCAAACAATGATGCTGCTCAGCCTGCCGTAGGCGCTCGCCCACTCCTGATGTTCCCAGGAGGCCATGGGCTCCTGCGCCTATGGAGGAGACTGGGGGGGAGGGAGTGCCCCCCTGGTCATGTGACCTGGTTCCTGCACCCGCACTACAATGAGGCTGTTACATTATGAGAGATGGTTGAATTCTTGTAAAGGCGATAGACTATGACATCACGGCAGATGAAAATAAACTGTAAGCAATATACTGTAATATTACAATGTAAATATTATGGTTTGATTATTATACTGTAACGATTACGATATGACATTACAATGTAAATATTACACTCATAAATATTACACAGTAACCATTACACTATGACATTACAATGTAAATATTACACTCATAAATATTACACAGTAACCATTACACTATGACATTACACTGTAAATATTACACTATGGTATTACTCTGTAACCATTACACTATGACATTACACTGTAAATATTACACTATGGTATTACTCTGTAACCATTACACTATGACACATGGTAACTGTCAGGCAGCTGACTTCAGCATGATCCAGTCGTTCACACTCTTTTGCTCCTTGCTCAGTGGGATGTGAACACTGAGCTATATTACAGTGGTTGCCACGGTGATTATTTTCCTTTTCTCTTCACTGTACTCACACTGGCTCTCTCTGGCCACACGCCTCCTGTCACACGTTGTCCTTTTCTGTGGTGTGCCCCCGCCCCCCCCCCCCCCCCTTCCAGGTTCTGGGGCTACCGCCCCCCATATTGCATCCAGCTGTAGTGTCTAATTAGCTGGATCATGGCTAATTGGTGAGGCATCGAGACTTTATCAATTTGGAAGCAGAAAAAATAATGAGCTGAACACAAAGGAACAGAAAATGGGGTGAACTTGGTGTCATTATGAAGAGTTTATGAAGGATTATGGGGAATATCCAGCAGCCTGGGTCAGGATAAAATTAACCTCCTATGGTATTCAGGACAACTCTCTCTAAACTACAAGGAATTAGAATTTTCAGTTTTGTACTTTAAAAAGTGAGAAAAAACATTGATATCTCCGCTCTTCAGTTGCCGAAATCATTAAAAATATGGATCTTCATAAAGTTCGATTCTATCACCAGTCATCGTATGAAAAGTCCAGCTGAATTACCCCCACAGCCTACAAAGCCGTTTAGGTAAGTCAGGCACCAACGTTTTAGCTCATTATCCACCGGGAAGTGGAAGAAAGGGCTTAAGATGAGACCCGCGGGGCTGGAGTCAGACAAACACACACACACACACACACACACACACACATCCACACATTCAGACAGACAGACACACACACACACACACACAGACAGACACGTACTCACATATACACACACAATCAGACAAACACACACACATACAGACACACACACACACTGGCAGAAGTATTAAAAATGAAACAAACTTTGCACAACCCCAGAGGGCAAGGATAAAAATGAGTACATATTTTGACTTTGTTTCTACGGTAACAGGGCCCGGCGGGCGGCGCTGTGAGTAACCAGCACGGCAGAGAGCAGCCTGCTGCTGCCTGAGCTCCGGCTTTCATGTATATAAGCAAAGCCGAGGACAGCAGCGCTGGAAACATCGGCGTGGGGCTCCCCAACAGGAAATACACGCCCCCCCCTACGCGTGGAGGCCGGCGGACGTACAGATTCAAATCTCCAGCTATGCACTATGCTAAGCTTGCTTCTCAGCACTCAGATGGCCTTTCAACATTGTATTACATTTTGATTGGCCGTCTGTTGTAATGAGCCCGCCCTAAAAGGAACACAAAGCCCTTCAATCAGGCTGTCATTCCTCCGCTTGACCAAACGCGCTGATTCGCCAGCACCTGATGCCACAAGACACTGCTTTTATTACTGGGGGGGGGCTCGTGCAACGAGGGGTGGAGCAAATCAGACGTGATGAACAACTTATTTAGGACGCCGGGAAGAAAACAATCAGTGGCAAGTGACTGACACAAACGTGGCATTTGACAGGAAACAAGGCGTTAAGAAGCGGGACGTGAGTGGAAAGCAAAAGACTGTGTTTATATATTCCGGTGCAGGGGGGGCGATGAGGCGCTCATCAAAGCTTTGCTGTGTAATCCGTGTAGCAGCTCCTCGGAGGCAGCGGAACCTCAGTCTGCGGCTCCTTGCTTAGGCCTTGAATTAGAGTAAAGTGTAGGGAGAAGCCTGGGCCATGTCCCCTTTGGGAGGAAGTGAAGTCACACCACTTCCTGTGAGGATGTTCTGTGGCCACCAGGGCCGATGCCTTTCCGTAGACAAACCTAGCCGATGAAATGGTAAATGTTTCCATTTAAGGCCCAATCCCCACAGAGACCTTACACATTATGTGAAACCAAATTGAGCAATAGCTAAACAGCTGCGCTGTTATTACCGTATAATGTCAGTGAGCAGAAATGTGTTTCTTAAGGTATAATAATACAGCGATATCTAACGAGTCTCTGTCCCTGTTAGGAAGAGGACATTGGATGGAGTGTAACTGACACCTGTTCCCTGCACCGTGACCGTCAACTTGTTGCAGTTCAGAAGACCATCTGAAGAGGGCGCACAGCAAAACCAGTGATACAGAACCAGTGAAAACCAGTTACACATATGGTGCCATTGGACCATTTGGGTTACATGAATGGAGGGTCAACCCACACTGGTGCCAGATAACTGCAAATGAAGTTTGTGCCAGATGTGTGACGACATTATGAAGCTCTGGGGTCCACTTGCCTCATTCCTAGCAAATAATGTTACAGCTTGTAACACACAGTAAATATTCTTTGGCCCTTAAATGACTCTGCTGTTTTATTGCTTTTTCATGGCTGAATAGTAAAGTCATTTCCCCCCCGCTCAGGGACAGTACTGCACAGTTCTTGGTACCCAGTAAAATGTTTGAATTAAAAACTGACCCCTTACTTCCCTGTCGATCACGCTCGGTGTGGGAGTACTAAGAATAATGTCTCCGTTCTGTGTTTTGCTCTTCTGAGCACAGAGAAGGTGACTTGGAAAATATCACTTTAAAACGTCACAATAATAATGTGAACTTCAATTGTTATCTGCAATGGAGATGTAATCTCTGCCTGGATGAAAGGAGGAAGTAAAAAATATAAAATATTCTGGGATTGTTGAATAGTTCGGTGATTCTGAATTGTTGAATATCGAGTGAGGTCCTGAATGATCATTACTACCATTATTATAATTATCATCGTCATTAATGCTATTGTTGTTTTAGAAGTTGCATCAGTCGTGTCCTGCCTGATCCTCTTGTCTCCTCCCCCAAGTTGCCCTGATGGGCCACACCTGAGCCCAACAAACCTGGTGCCTCTGTAGCCCATCTTCACCTCTGCTGCATCTCCGGAGCCCGTCCTTACTCCTGTAGCCCTTCCAGAGCCTGTCCACACCACTCCACCCGCGCTCCAGGCTCCTGACCCAGAGATGGCCGCTTAGCCTGAGTCCCCGGCTCCCGGTGCAACAGGGGCTTCTTTTCCCAGCCCTATCTTCAGATGTCCCGCCAGCACCTGCCTCGTCTCCATTCATCCTCCAGGCACCCATCTCGCTGCCAATGGTCCCTTCACCCCCTACTGGTCATGGGCAAGTCGGCACCCATGTCCCCGGTCATCGCCAAACCAACGCCCTTGACCGCTGCCAGGCCGACGTCCGACACCCAAGCTGCCAGGCCAGGTTGTGCTGACCCAGATGATGCCCAGCCGGGAGACCTGGAGTGGGACCATCTTGCTCGGGGGGCCCCCACCTCAGCCCAATGCTCACACCAACTCGGCCCCAAGTCTCAGTGCAGTCAACAGTGCAACCGGGGGCCCGGAAGAGGGGTAGGCTGAGTTTCCATCTCCAGGAGGGAGAGACAGGGACACACTATCTGGGCCAATCACCCAGTCCCTGGTCTGCCCGGCGATATCCTCCCAGACACCTCTCCTGCTGCAGCCTTGGGGAGAGAAACTTCAGCACCCTCGGTCTGCTGTCCAGTAGTTCCCTTGATACCCTCCTGCCCCTGTCCTGCAGTCCCCTTGGCCACCTGGTAAAGTTGGCCCCTCGGTACCTTCTGCCTCTCCGAGGCCCTCAGGTCCTGTGGTCCAGACTGGCTCCGCCTCGCCAGAGGATGGGCTCAGCAGGATCCACATCCCAGGGTCGTTGCCCAGCTTCCCTGGGTCTGCCCCCCCCCCCCCCCCACCCTGCCCGTTTTTATTCATTACGCCCCAGCCCCTTGGTGTGGTTTATTCTATCTGCCTCTATCTCTGCCTCTTCTACTACCTGGTCCCCAGGTAATGCTGAGACATGGCTGGAGGTAGTTTAGCTTCTCTCCTGTTGTCCTGTTGGTCCCTGGACTGACCCCAGCCTACTCCATGCCCCTTATCATGCTGTTTACCCTGCCTTGTCCTGCCTTGTCCTGTCCGATAGTTCTGCTCCTCTGACATTTTGTGGTGTCTTACCCGTGTACTCCGTCAGTCCTGCCATGCTCTATCCTGTCCAGTGTCCTGTCCGTTCCTCACCCTATCATTCAGTCCCCTTGGTCCCCTCTGCTGTCCGTTGTTGTGGGGTGTGTAGGGGGGTACTGTCATATCTGGCCCACCACATCTGCCCGGCCCTTCTGAGGCCCTGATGGGCCACACATGATGCTAGTCTGTGATTAAGTACGTGTGTGTCTCGTCATTGCTAGTCCAGTCATTGATCTCATTCCTTCCATTGCCTGTGCCCTACCTTTAGCTACTCTTCCCGTTTTGACTCCTTGTGGTCCTGTTCTGTTTCACTGCTCCTGTCTGTTAACCCCAATAAAGCCCCCTTGCTCATTTCTGTATGTAGTGTGACAGCATTAAAAGTCTTTCTTTATCCTTCTCTCAACCTCCCCTTGACTTTTTTTCTTTGGTTTTATTTAATCTCCTTTATACTGTTGACCTATTGGTGCATTTCCTAAGAGGACTACAATGTAAAAATAACCTTTTTTTTTAGGCTCACGGCTGCCATGGAAATAACAGAATGTTCGCTATGGCGAATCTCAAGCATCCATTGAAGGGGTCCCATTGACCCGTTGCCCCTGACAACTCTAAATCCAGCCAGAATGATTATGGGTTGTTGTGGAATAATCTCCAACTATGTCTCAACATTAGAGTGGCTTACAGATCAATATGGGAATATCGGAAATGTCGGAAAAGCGAAGACCCCCGTTTCCTGACAGACGTGTTATGGGGGTCTTATGCCATTGGACAGTCATAACCCAGAAACAAACTAGGAATCTGCCTAATAAGCTAATTATAGTGCAAACTAAAAGCGGCGTTCTGGACGTCACACGGGCGTAACACCAGCTGGGGCGCCAAAGCTGACTAAACACGCGATGACACGCGCCTGAGCACCGTACACATTCGATGCCGTAAACCCAACATTAGCGAAAACCTCAGATGTTTTTCCACACAGCTAATTACAGAGCCCGTCAGAGAACAGCGACACTTAGACATACGCTGCTGGACCCCCTTTTCATCATCATAATTTCAACAGGTGCTTTCTGTAAATGTTATACAAACACTGGCTCCGTGTTTATTCAGCCCTAATGCCTGGGCAGTATTCATATATATTACAGCATATATTACCACCAGCATCACTGCCCAGCCCCAAGGATCACATACAAATCAGGCTCTCTGTCTCATCCATCCATCCATCCATCCATCTCCAGAATGGCTTGTCTTATTCAGGGCATAGGTAAGTCTGAACGGCACATATAATTATGGATACAGGAAGGTTAAGAATGATGTCCTATCGATAAGGTGCAGGCCTCGCGTTGTGTGAGGGCAGGAAGGTCAGCCAGGAGAGCAGCAAGCAACGGTGATCTGTGGAGGTGGAATGATCCGAGCTTCTCTGGGTTTTTCGAAGATTTTTAGATTGGACTGGGACACATGTCTGTCTAGTGTGGATGTGAAGACTGCAGGCGACATGAGCATTGCATGTGAAAGATGACAGTTCCAGTGGTTATGGATCTACTCACATTTACGCGAGAGCAGAGGACAAAGCCAAGAACTGACTCGCGGGCCCATACTCCCACAGCCGATTTTACAGAGGCAGAGAGCCATGGCGGCTGTGATGTGGATCTAATGCGATCATTGAGCTGAAAACTAAAGGCCAGATCAGAAGACATCGGTCAGATCTTTTCTTTAAATGGAGTACTGAATTAAGGTGAAGTGCTTGAAAATAATGAATGAGCATCATCGGGGCATCAGATCTGCAAATTTCAGCTTAGAAAATACAGCCATGACAACAGCATGAGAATAAAGATAATTATACTGATAAGCAGTAACGTGTAGTATAAATTGCACTAATTCTAGCAGACACTCAGCGTCCTGGCAGCCTCCTATTGGTTGTCAGGTTGCTGAGGGGGCGGGGCATGTGATCCAGCAGGGCATTCTGCCCAAATGCTGCTTCTCCTGCTCCTCTCTGATTCGAGCAGAACCTTGCGAAGAAGAGGAGCTGCTCAGGAGTGAGAGAAATGCTGGACAGAAGCTGGGCTTCAACACAAGAAAAATGAGAAATGGCTTCAAAATCAAGGGAACTATATTTGGTGCTAAAACACTTTCCTTTCAACACAATTCCTCACATGCACAATCCTGAACACAGGTGGTATTTCACGCAGTCCTAAACATGTGACTCTTTACAAACTTTGTCCATAGGCCTATATTCTCACTAGGAAACCATACATTCTCTACTCGTAATGCATCAGTGGAGGATGCTTCTGGAAAATATCTTAGATAGATTAGTATTAACTAGTAATAATATTAGTAATTTTAATTAATAATCAGGGGTACAGCTGTACACAGAGTAACGCAGTGAATCACAATGCAGTTCTCAGCGATCCCCAGCACACTTGTACCAGGCAATCGGTGTTCTTGATCACTTGGTTATTTGGTTCAGGTGTGCGGCGAGCTGGGAGGAAGCAAAAATGTGTCTTGGGGGGGGGGTCCCCGAAAACTGGGTTGAGAAACATTGAATTAACATATATTACTGCAGCAGTGATACCTGACATTAAAGCAGAACCCGACGTTATCCTTTCAATAAGATAATCATGCTGCTCTTGTATAACACGTTTTCCCGTTTGATAGATGTTTCCTTGACAAAGAAACGAACATAACCGCTGTCTTAAAATTGAGTTTGGAGCTTTAAAATGTGCTGACCATCCAAGTACGTGGCTAAACGGAATTGATTGCTTTCAATCCAGAAAATAATTAGCTTAATGAAGTAGTTAGATCGGAAACTGAAGACCTCACAGTAAATAAATAGTAGGCTACTTAAGTGTATTACAGAACGTGTTTTAGCATCGGGATACTGGCGATAAGAAAGATCTCATTATACCCGTTATTTAATCATTGAAAAAATACAAAATACGACTGTCAAAATTAATAGGCCTACTATCGCACTGGGTATATTGAGCATAGGGTAGTTTCTGGATAGAAAATATAAATATTCCGGAGTATATACAACACAGCCACCGTCATTTTAATTAGGTCATAATCAGAGCCATTCACAATGACAATGTGTAAAATGTGTAAATCAGGAAAATGATTCAGCGTTAGTAGTTTTCTATAAAAGTTGTCAGGTTAGTAGCTTTACTCAGAAACACACACACCAGTTCGCATCTAGAAACGGCCGTAGAATGACGGGATGTAGCTTCTTCCATTTAATCAGCATGAATGGCCGGACAGCGCTGTCCCCGTTCGGGACCACGGACAGGGAATGAAGCAAGTGAATCATGACGAAGGAGTAAACGTAGACGAACTCTAAGCACTCCGATTTTAATTAATAAGCACAACAAAATATTAAACAACTAACTACAAGTAAACGTCATGTTTTAGGCATCGCGTAACGGAGTAAAAGACGAGTCGATGGTGGTTATGAAAGAGCCAAAGAGGGACAAATCGCCCCCTGTTTTGGTTACTTGTGCACACATTAGTGCTATTTGAAGGCAGAACAAAGACGTCTTTCACTTAGAGCACAAATAGCCAAACGGAGCCTGTCTCAATTCGGGCACATTCTGAGCAAAGCAAATGCTCTGGATAATACAATAATGCTTGGAAATGTAAAAGTAAAAGAGGAAATGGACACCTATAAACAAGGCGACTCAGTAATCCTACTAACGGCTGCCTTGTCACCCACTAAGCGGCCCTGCGACGGACACAGGACGGACTAAAGGACCGACAAGCCAACCGCCCCAGTGCGATGGGCACTGATACCAATCTGACTTCACAGTATATGCATGTATACGCAATACAGGCATTTAAAGGTGAATTCAACAAACAGATTATATGAACTAAATAAAAATTTCAAAGCATAACAATACAGTTTAAATGTACTATGCACGGTTTAGCGAATTGCTTTGTATATTATTAGCAACCACAAGAAAATCTGGAATATACAAAAAGTTATTGTTGTGAAATTATGCACAATTATTTATGGAACAAGTTATTCATTTTATATGCGTAGTATAGCCTACAAATATGTCGTTAAAAGGCTATTTATATTGTACATGTGAACTCGAATATATATAGCACGGCAGATCTGTGTGAAACGTCGACTGCTTTCTGATTAATATTTAAAAACCGGTGAGCAGAAAATGCGCTATAATCGGACGTGATTAAACAGGGATGGCGATAACGCCTTCAACTCCTCTATTGCAATCGACCACGATGCCGCTGTGAAAAACAAAAAAGCAGAAAATATTACGGTGTTATGGGAAGGTCTGATCACACCTTTGGAGAGACGGAGTGAAAGCGCTTAAAGCGGAGTGGGCAAAGTGTGAGCGCTAAGTGAGATTCATGACCGCAGGCGCAAAAGCCATCGCTGCACTTGCACGTTTACTTGAATGCAGTGATTACTGCGCTTCATCTGCCCCCCATCATTTTAAACTGTGCATTTGGGGTGTATTTAGCAAGAAAGTAAAACCAGAGCAGTTAGAATTACAATCGCACGCACACAAAAGTTTAGTGTTGAGCAGCAGAACAGTATGCACAGTGTCACAACGCAGTGTGTAGATGTGAAACACCCCCCCCCCACTTATTCCCGGGAAATAAAACCAAACATTTTCTGTTGGCGGCATGCTGGCTTTACAGCGCGCGCATCATACCGATTGCGCACACTTCTCTCCACCTCTCTCTCTCCCCGCCCCCACCGTTTCCCTACCCTTCCTTCGTCATTTTCTTATTCACTCACACTCACTACTCGATCTGTTGTTCAGTTTCATCTCCGCTGACTGCCAGCGAGTGGTGCGCCGACGCGGGGGACGTGACAGGGACGCGCACGGAGCGCCGCGGATGCTCGTAACAAGTGGCCGGCAGCGGGAGGGAGGGCGCGCTTTAAATACAGTGCAAGTCCCACTTCATTCCGAGACGGTGCTACGTCTGCAACGGCGGCTTTATATCAAACGGACCCAAACCTTGGAGCCGCGCTGAGATACTGTCTTATTATTATGAAGATGATAATCGCCGCGGGTGGATGTGTCGTGTTTGCTGGATATACGCGTGTGGGCTTTTTAACCAAGTACGGGCGTCTTTGAGCGGTCTTTCCTCCCTTCTGGCTGTGGCGGAGCAGAAAGCGAACCTCGGGGAGCGCAGGATGAGAAGCGCCGCCTGGCTGCTGGGTTACTTCGTGCTTAAAGTTGTGGTGCTGCTGTGCGACGCGGCCGGCGAGCCCGGACGCCAACTCAGCGGCTTCGTCATGATGTCGGGCTCCAACGACTCCAGAGACAGCGAGAACAGCTTAACGGAGACCCCGCATATTGAGGACCGCTGCCGGGGTTACTACGACGTGATGGGACAGTGGGACCCCCCGTTCGTGTGCAGGACCGGCAGCTACCTGTACTGCTGCGGGACCTGTGGCTTCAGGTTCTGCTGCGCGTTTAAGAGCTCGCGCTTGGATCAGAGCACCTGCAAAAACTACGACACTCCCATGTGGATGATGACGGGTAGACCCCCCTCCAAAAAAAACGACCCCACTCACGACCCGACCAAGGATAAAACTAACTTAATTGTCTACATAGTCTGTGGAGTAGTGGCTATCATGGCGCTGGTTGGGATATTCACGAAGCTCGGACTGGAAAAGGCGCATCGACCCCACAGAGAAAACATGACCAGGTGGGTGTCGAGTCGCGTGCCAAACGCGCCTTCGTGCTTATTGCGAATGCGAGGGGCGAAGGGGAAAAATAATAGGTCAGGGATTTCATAATTCAATTCTCAAAATAGATAAATATCTCACTACTGGTCCCGAAAACACACTTTAAAAAACACCGACGTGTCCCTCCTTGTTCATTCCCTTGTACATAATCATATAGACGCTGCAATGACACTTCAGATTGCATACAAACGACAGGACGTGCGCGTGAGCCCTTTGTGCGCGCGTCGCACCGCGAAAGCGCAGGCGAGTCTAACAGGTGGCATTGGGGCTGGCGAAAGACGCGCCATTATATTAAAACATAATAACCTACGTATTCATGCACTCGCATAATGTGTATTCTTATATTCTTACACACGTAAGCATCACAATGTGTAAAAATGTGCTCCGTAGCCTACATGACGCTATAGAGCATCGTAGTTGATTTATTACTTATAACACATCATGTTCGACTTCACCCGAATCTAAAAACACATTTATTATTGGTACAATTTGTTCAAATGAAATCAGGGCTATGTGTATGTGTGTGTGTGTGTGTGTGTGTGTGTGTGTGTGTGTGTGTGTGTGTGTGT